TCAGCTTGCAAAGAAAATCGTGATGATCAGCTTGCACATGTTGCTCCGCATCTGAATGACATCAGGGGTTACCCTAGATGCAATATATGCACACCCCCCTCCGCAGAATCCTCGAGCTCGACGCCCGCGACAAGTCCGATGGCGAACTACTTGCTTCGTGCAGCCGGCAGTGGTGTACCGTGTCTGCAATCTGTGCCAATAGATTTAAATAGATCTGCTAAACCCATGTAACCCTAAACCCTACACCCCTGAACCCTAACCCTAACTCCTAAACCCCTCTAAACCCTAAACCCTAGACCCCCGAACCCTAAACCCCAAACCCAACAGGGAGTCGCTGGAGGAGCCTTTATGAACTATTTTTTGAGAGTCCAATCTCCCTTAGATAGATAGCTAGCGCTAGGTATACACCCCGAAACAACCAGGGAAAGCTCAACTCTAAAAACCCAACGCCCTCAATCGCTAGAGTATACTGCAGGGAATGTCGTACACGAAAGTCCGGGACATTAGCCGAGTTCTGAAGAAGGCCGGACAGTCCTGCTCGTGTCCCGATATCATCGCCAGCAGCATATCGTCAATCCCAATCAAGCACCTGCCGGCAGGAGCTGAAGCATACATACGGGGTGGAGATGGTTGGAGGCACCCGCCGGATGGCTGACATCCAGCATGCCCAGAACGCCCAACGTGACATGCTTCGGGCTTTTCCTTCTTCGGAGCCTTATCCTACAAATGCGGGTTGCAATGCTCGGTCATGTCTACAGTGCATTGCGAGATCGAAATCCCAATCGTAATTCTACAACCGAGGTGCCCATTCGCTACGTCCTGGTCCCTATGCGAAAATCAATGACGGATGATACCGTGGTGCAAAGGACGGTCATGTACAGATATAAGCCTTCAGTGCTAGTCAGCCGCATGTCCGTACTTCGAATAGCATGTTCCAGGAAGATGCCATTGATTCTCCCTCACGAGCTGATGGTGCAGCTTAGCTTGAAGGGCCACTTGGAACAAGGGTTAGAGGATGCAACCAAAAAGTATTGGTCGCACATGGAGAAGACCGGCTCCGACCACCCGTGCATCCATGACAAGATGTGCAGACCTTTGGGCCTGTACGGCGATGATGCCCAGTATGACCGGAACTGCAACAAACTTATAGTGGTTACACTATCGGACTGCTTGGCTACCTCGAAGCACTCTATGGCTGCGACGTGGCCGCTCTTCGTTCTGAGAGAAGTTACTATAGCCGTGATTGAGAACTCTAGCTTTCTTGTTTCATTAGCTTTTTGCAATGGACTGAAACGTACTTATAATGGTATGTATGCACTTAAGCAGCTCAGGGCTTGTCAATTGGATTTGACACGCTGAATGCCTTCCTTGCCCCGGTGCTCTTTCCTGCAACTACTACGAGTACTATTGTTGTGTTCGATTCCAATATATAAGTATATCTAATTAGTCGGTACAAGCTACCCTGCTGAGATCGCCATCTCCTTGAATATTCTATTCTATGGACGAGTGCCGGCCTCTCCGCTACACCTCGAGACGGAGTTCACGAGGGAAACATGGGAGAATGTTATCAAGCCGAACCTGAAGGACGAACTCCTATTCAAGGATTGTGGAGACGACCCAAAGTTCTACGCGGCGACAGAAGTGCGGGGCGACTGGAAGTTCGTGAAGGTGCAACATGTTACACCCACGACCATTTTTCTGATTGCATCCGATTTCGTTCAGATCTGATCAATTGAAATTTAAAAGTACGTAGCCTGTAGTGGAGGAAGACTAGGTAATAAGAGGTGTGTGACAATATATAATTTAGCTTTAGCATCAAACCCAAAAACAACTCGGATCCTAGCAGGCCCTCTACAACATGAACCTCGGCTGGAACAACAAGAGCATATGCATGCACTGCCACATGAAGCTGAACGAGTATGTCCAATTCCCCTACAACCTGGACAGTGTTGAACGACGCAGCACGGAGAGCTTCACTGCCTGCCTCAAGCCAGACTCCTCCGGAGAAAAGTGTGACCTGGGCCAACAAATCAGCCCGACCCTAAACTAAACCCTAGCCCTAGCCTTATATCATAACTAGTGTGTGTCACTGATCCGAAACTAGCTAGCTTAAAGACCGAATCGAACCGAAGTGAGGTGCCCTCCTGTGGGTGGAGTGCTTGAAGGTGCCCGCTGCCATTCGTTGGTGCACGCTACATGTCATCAATTTGGGGTATGCTGGATGGGTCGGAGCCTCTACGATGGAGTTCCTCATGCAGAAGGAGCATACAAAAGTGTAACAATCATAACCCTGCGCCCTTAAACTCTGAATAGCTCTCGCAGCAATCATACATGTATCTTCACCCTCGACCTTAAACTTCGAGCGCCCCAAACCCTCGACACCCATCAGCCCGAAACCACCAAATTCTGTCGGGATGTTGATGTAACTACGTTTTCACCCGAGATTTATATATTTCTACCTCTGATACGTATAATGTATATACATTAGTTTAATTTTTGATTCTTGTACATGTAGTTCGATAAATTAGTATTATAGCTGCCTTAAAACTGAATCTGACTATAAACCCTAGCCCTAACCCAACTTCTACCGCACGCCAGGAAGAGTTGCCATTCCTGTGGGGTGGCATCAACGAGCCCCCGGCCGGCCGACTTTCGAGGGCTTACCAAGACTTCGCATCCTGGGCACGTGCAAGAGGAATCCAGTTGCTCAGTCGGCATAGATCATGAACAGATTAAATCGTAAATACGTGCGATATAGGATGGATGTTGTGATCCTTGCAAACATGCACAGGCATTCCCAGCCACCGTTCCGAACGACGTTCTTCAAGGGAGGAGATGATTTTCACTCGATGGCTGCTAAAGGGTACAATGCAGCAGGGCTGTATTCATGTGATGATATATAGTCTGTTGGAAAAGCCTAGATCTCATGATAGCACAAACCGCACCTCTAAGGCGAGGTGCATCATCGCTTGGTTATCCGACTTGATGCTGCACCTGCTGCACGATGTGCAGGACGAGGAGATGAAAGTTCTGTCCAGCTGTGTGACTCTAGGTAGCAATTACTTTAGGGCTGTGTATAAACAGTCTTTCGTCTAGCTAGACACAGATCTAGACGTATCCACAAACACACATACATACACATATATACATGCATGTATACGTACAAAATTGGAGGATAGTTAAAACTGTATAGCTATATATGTAATTACATATAGAATTACAGTTTTAACTATCCTCCAATTTTGTACGTATACAAGAATCAAATATTGTTAACAATCATAGCTATGACTTATGCCTTAAGCTCTACACCCAACCCTCGATAATGAAATTCCGATCAGGTACCATTTGGCCGAGCTCTTCAACATCATGGAGAGAAACCCGAGGCTCCTGGAAGAGGCGCCGGCTCAGAGGATGAAGCAACTCATCGCCACTTGGGTTTGATGGCTCGCTTATTGTAGGTTCTAGCAAATTAAATGATCCGAATAGCAGCCTCTACTCCAAATCTCAGGATTTCTCCACTACGAGTTATGTGCGGATGGCACATCGGGTGAACCGGGTCGGGAAGATGCTGTTCCCCTTGAAGCCGAAACTTCACGCTACTTGGTTCGTATACATCTGGGATAAACCTATCACAAGTGTAACTGCTACATTGTCCAAACATCCGAGGCGATGCAAGAACTTGCATACTGGGTGACGTCGGATCGCCCCACTGCTGCAGCATATTGCCCGGTTATTCTGCGTGTGCAATCCCAACTGTTTGTAGATGTGCTAGCTTGACATCCAAATCAGGAATCAACCCGCGATTCTATCATACGTTCAAGGACGAAGACCTGAACGGCAGGATCGTGGGCAGCCTCACTGCACATAGAATTTTGGTCATTCGAGCCCCCTCGAGAATATCTATGTATATACATTCCAGCCCAGGAGTTGCCAAAGCCACGAGCGCCCAGAACATGGAACCGGCGATCCTCCGAAGGTACTACTCCTGGTATCTTGGTGAGAACAGTCCTCGTAGATCCATGTGGTTCGCCCAATCTCCATCCCTTTGAACCTGCAGCAGAAAAACTATATCTATCTAAGGCTGGAGTTCTCCCGGGCGAATGGGTTCACGAGCGATGACGATGAGCTCTAATTAGGCCTAGGCCTTTGGGTTCCGAGCGAATAATTGGTGCTTTTCCAGCTGTGCGGTACTGGGAGCTGGCAAGCTACAATATCACCGTATATCACCGTACCTAGTACACACATAAGTATGTGGCCGGCTTTTGCACGGAGCTGGTGCACCGGTGGCCTTGGCCACGTCGAAGGCATGCACCGAGCCGTGCCGCGCAGAAAACATGGCGAGCGGTAACAAGGTCTATGGGTTTAAAGGAAGGATTATGTACATAATTATTTCAATCTAGGATTATAGGGTGTAGGGCTTATAGGGTTCAGGTGAATTTTCGGGTCTAGGGTTTAGGGTTCAGCGGAAGAGCGGCAAACGTCCTTGCAAGCAAGCTTGCAGCAAAAGGGTTCAGGGTTTAGGGCTTTCGGGTTTTCTAGCATAGGTTTATCATAATAGAACATAGCTACATACTTGGTGTTAGTACTGCTGGTTTCTTGTTCTCACGGGCGACCTCCTGTATATCAGCCCACACCTAGCTACAATACGATCTCGCAATCTCGAGCGAGGAATGGCCTGCCAATGATGCCAATGGCTGCCAATGTTCTGATGCGGTCGAACGGTCTTGATCGATGTTGTATAGCCGCAGAATAAAGTATGTTTTTTAGAATAATCTTTGCGAACTTATCTTCATAAATCGGCCGTTGCAACATACCGACATTGCCAAACAAAGCACTCTCGCATGTCGAGCACCATTCCCGTGTGCTGAGCCCGCTGACTTGTCAGCAAATTAACACCATTGCCCAATAACGACGGAACCGCGTTATTTGCCAGACAAGGCATTACATATTTATTATGCTAGATCGAGTCTTCTCCCTCCAAAGCCTTACAGAGGAAGGCTTTAGGAGCAACAGGGGTATTGTGCTGACCGCAGTTTCGCGCGCAAGAGACTGGAACCTGCCTTGACATTTTGGTTGATGGCGATGCGGTCCTTCAAAAACCTCCAGGCTCGGTCAATGATTTGAGTGCCTGATTTGACCTTCAATTTCTTGTTGCTGCCTGGCACTTTGTGGGTTACCATGGTGACATACTTCGGGCTTGTCCACTGGTACTTGCCGTTGATTTTGACGCGCTTCTTGCAGTGAACGACTCTGTCATGGATCACCCCGTCAACCTTCGCCTTATAGCTTTTTGCCGAATCGGTATGGAGAACAACTTTGCGGTCGCGAAGTTTCTCTTGAGCGAGGCTCTTCCACTCGATCTTCCGGATTGCTCTTGGGCCCGGTGCTCTCGTGGGTGTGAGCTTGGGGTTCAGCTTGCGGAGGATGAATGTGCGAGGCTGGCCGCGCTGTACGATTCCAGCCCATGCATTGCTCCCATAGAGTGGTGTTGTTCGGCTTGGAGATCAGGTGCTTGACATCAGGGTCCTTTGAAATGTCGCGCTTGTCAAAAGTAGCCTCGTCGGCTTCAACATCAACCCAAGTGCGTTTGTTCCCTAAAACAATCTTTTTCTCCTCCTTCTCGACGAACTCTTTGCGCAATCTACAAAGCTTCTTCCCCTTATTGGCAGGCTAAAAACAAACTCTATCATGCCATGTGCTTAATTGAACAAAACAAATAAAAACTGTAGATACTAAGCAAGCACCAGCTTCCATGTCTTCGATGGCTTTGTGGTTGATGTCCAACACAAGACGGATTGTAGACTGTGGCACGTTGTGAAGCTTTAGGAGGAGCATGGCGGACTGCATCTGCAGACTCTGTTTCTGCGGGCCCATGCATTCCGAGAAGAGCGGGTGAAGATGATAGGGTGTGATGGCGGCTGTGCACTTGTAGTTGTTGCAACGATGCTTCAAGTGATGAGGGCCACCTGTATGGAGCTTGGACAAGGTTCCACTTGAACATCTGGGGCACAACTTTCCGGAAAGATCCATCAAAAGCTTGTCCGCCAGCAACATTTTGATGATGTCATAGTCGTTGGCCTTCAGAAGCTGAGGCAAGGTGCGTTTCCATTTGACTTGATCTTTGCGTTGACCCCGAGATCCCACAGTGACGTTGCCGCGCACATACTTGACGGACTTCCACGAAGATGACTTTGTAGCCGCCGGTCGCTTCTGGACCTTGCGCAGCTTGCCTTTTTTAGCGACAATGTTGTTATTGGGCTTCTTCCCCATGGGAGCAGAACCAGCAAGCAAGTCTAGGACCTTTCACTTGAACTCAAAAGCTTCGCTGCATGTAATGCAAAATGAGACATGTGATATGCTTTGGCACTGCCGGTTGCGGACACTACGCGAGTGCAAAAAATCTAACTTTTTGGTTCGGAAAACAAGATTTGGAGCATCCAAGGCTACGCGCGAGAGATCACGATGGGCCGTAACTGTGTTAGGCCGTTAGGCTTCGTATGTCAAGGCCAAAGACATCAAAAATTGAGGGCCTACTCAGTGGTGCTTGCAGAATCAGGCATCGTCCATGAAGGCCTCCAGGTTCTGTGAGAAATTTTCCATGGGATCGACGACGTCCATTGTTTCACCGGGGCTGCTGTGCACAGGCGAAGATTTTGGAAATGGCGGCCTTGGGCTCGGAGGCAGGCTCGTAGATGCCGTGGCTGCCTTTGGCGGTGACTTGGGCGAAGATGGCGGGGTGGGATCCGAAAGCGAAATGTGCATAGTGCGACCCTTCAAAGATGTCTTGAAAGCCGGAAACGTCGCTTTGACCTCCAGCGGCTCTTGCTTGATCGTAACCTTTGAAGGATATGAGGAATACAATTTTAAAACATTCAGATTTAGACGTAGATGTTTGGCGATTGCTAAAATAGCTATATCTTATGCAATAACAACCAGACCCAGTAATCATGAGACTAAACCAGCATGTCCCCCTGTATGAACTTACTGTGAAATGGAAAACAAATTTAAAGCAACAAAAAACACGCCAACAACCAAGTAACGGGGACATGGGCACCTGCAGAAGATGTAGCCTCCTCAATATCCTCTTTTTTCTCCTGGTTTCCGTCATCCTCTTTGATGTTCTCTCCTTTGTCTTCGGGCTTAGGGACAAAATTGCTGATGAGTGCACTCGATGATTTCACGGAGCGGAACCGCTTCTTGGCTGGCTCATTTGGTTGCGCGATCTTGTCCGGATAGAAGGTTGAGTCCACAGAGATTCCTGCAAGCGTGGGTCGCTTTTCAATGACATACTTTTCGCCATCGAAATTTTTACCCAAAGATAGTAGAACACCGTGGCAGAGCTTCTCCGTCAAGTGCGGCTTGCAAGAAGTTGAGTGACCATTGTACCTTCTGAGCATGTTCAGGAACATTGCCTGCGGAGCCTCCGTGCTTGTAGGTCTGAAAAAGGGGTCTGGCACAAGGTGATACCATACCGCAATCTCGCTCTGGCCAAGCGTGTCTTGGAACTGGATCGCGTGATGTCCCGGGGGTGCGGATGTAGATGCCGATCTCCGTAAACACAACGATACAGGAACGCTTCAAAACGGCAAGCAAATCCTCCTCATCAAAATCACGATGAAACGAGGGACGCACGAGCTTGTAGAAATCATCGAAGGAGACTGTGTCTGAGGCAATTCCAGGTCGCATTTTTGACTCTCCTGTCCGATCGTAGGGATTGGAGCAAGCTTGGCAAAGCTGATTTTTGGTGTAGGAGGACGCATTGTAGCGCGCCATAGTCTTGCGATCAATACCCGAAACCTCTGTGATAGCCTTGACAGCCGCTGGTGTTTCCAGGTAGAAGTTGCCATCATCAAAGACACGAGGCTTGCTGCGACGACCACGATCCTTACGGAAATAGTGCAAGGAGCTGGCTGTCTGAAAGCAAGGGAGTTCGTCAGTACGACCTTCCTGCAGGAGCCAGAATGCAGACATCAAGTGAGAAAGCGTGTATGAGGCTGGACTCTTCCCTACTTCCGATTTGCCAATCCAAATGACCGCATGCTCAATCAAGTACGGCAGAAGTGGGGCAATCACGGTGTTGAGAGCCCACGGCGTGAAGTCTGCCAGGGTTAAGGGCCAGTCCGATATTGTGTCGGCCTGCGCGCCCTTGTCTGCCTGGCAGCGAAGGAATTCTTTGATGGTGCCGCGATCCCATTTGTAAAGAATGCTATCCGGATTATTGACCTGCTCCTCCGTTCAAGAAGTGAACTGACCGTCCGAATTTTCTTGGGGGCCATGCTCTTTCAGGAACTGGGAACCCTTGCGAATGTCCTCGGTCTCCTTGGGTACCTTGTTGCTTGCAATGAGGGGGACGAGCTTTTGATAACGAACTTGGAAACCGCCTAAGCCTTCCAGCATATACTGCAAAGCTCTGGTGCCGTCTCGAAAGTTTTTCTGGTAGTCGATTTCCACAGGCCTGCCAGTGCACATGCTTATGATGGTGCTCGCAAGGATTTTGGTGCCCTCCGCGAAACGATCGTGTTTCACAATGTTCCACGTCTTGTCCTCGGACTGTAACATGAAAACCTGCATAGTGTGCGGGGTGAGGTTGTTGCCCTTCATCTTGAGAGGCTCTGGTAGATCTTGATATCTCTGCTGCAAAAACAACGTCTCGAAGTGTGTCAAGTCAAAGTCGCCTTTGTGGTTCAATATGACATCTAAAAACTGAATCTTCTTCTTCAAGGAGTCGACGATTTCATCTCTGGCTGGCAAGTCTCCTATTTTGACTGAACCCACGGGCTTGTGTACTATCATTGGCTTTTCAAGGAAAATCACTTTCAAGCCTTCTGTATTCGAGATGGCTTCTTCGAATGTGATCGCTCCGTCGAGTGTGTCCTCATGAAGCGATTGTGCGAGGGAAATGGGTCGCTGAGGGAGTGCGGACGCCATGAGGGAGCAGCGAAGCGAGATTTGAAAAGGCAGCTACAGAGCAGAACACTGGATGCCTGCATCGAAATATTTACGTTAGCGGTCACCATAATGTTCAACAACAATAGCAACAACTTGTCCATGGCGGCTATGACTTATGAGCATCACAGAGCATGCGCAGAAGCAATCTTCTCCTTTTGCAGTTCACGTCATCTGCTGTCTTCGTCGAGTCGCAGAGCAAACCTCTGTGTTCTGTTGTGATCTTTGAAATCTCTTAGAAATACAAAAAGAACAGCAGAGAGTCTCTTGGAGACTTCTACTGCTCGGTGCTCAGTCGCCAGATGCGAAACTCATCCCAGCGAAGGTAGTGCTCGCGCCCGTTGCAACACACGAACAAGATGTGCTTGTGCCGGTAAATCTCCATATCTAAGCGTGGGATGGATGGAAAACAAAGAGCAAAGGCGTTTTACTAACACAAAGCTTACTTAATTTGCGTAAATCCTGCCTGACGAAAGAACGCCAATCAGCCTGGGGAACTCCGCCGCATCATGGTTGTCAGTTGGCAACGCATGCCGAGTCCACGAACTCACCACGTCAGCTTGGATTTCTTTTACTCGCACATCCCAACTTCGGTATCTGTCTATGCCTGAACTCTCAGCATTTGAGCTGTCTTTCTCCACAGGTTCTGACCTTGGCATCATTGGTATTTTTGGGACAGTACAATGTTTTCGTGAAATTTATTGCAAAAGTGCTGTACTGTCCCAAAAAACCAAATCCCTTTTTGCAAAAGTGCTGTACTGTCCAAAAAAAACCGAAAAAACAATCTTTTACAGTCTTGAAGTAGCTACCGTGTAAGGGCCTCCAATAGATTGGTTTTTTTGGGACAGTACAGCACTTTTGCAAAAAAAAGATTGTTTTTTTCAGACAGTACAGTGTTTTCGTGAAATTCATTGCAAAAGTGCTGTGCTGTCCAAAAAAAATCTTTTTTTGCAAAAGTGTTGTGCTGTCCCAAAAAAACAAAAAACAATCTTTTGAGGTCCTGATGTATCGTGGTGCAAGGTTTCCAGTAGATTGGATTTTTGGGACAGTACAGCACTTTTGCAAAAAAAGATTTGCTTTTTGGGACAGTCCAGCGTTTTTACTGTTTTTTCTGCAAAAGTGCTGTACTGTCCCACAAAAACAATCTTTTTTTGCAAAAGTGCTGTACTGTCCCAAAAAAACCAATCTATTGGAGGCCCTTGCACGGTAGCTGCTTCAAGACTGATAAAAGATTGTTTATGTTTGTTTTTTTGGGACAGTACAGCACTTTTGCAAAAAAAGATTGGTTTTTTTGGGACAGTCCAGCGTTTTTGCTATTGTTTTGCAAAAGTGCTGTACTGTCCCAAAAAAAAACAATTTTTGTTTGCAAAAGTGCTGTACTGTCCCAAAAAAACCAATCTATTGGAAGCCCTTACACGGTAGCTGCTTCAAGACTGTAAAAGATTGTTTCTTTTTTTGTTTTTTTTGGACAGTACAGCACTTTTGCAAAAAAAACAATTGTTTTTTTTTGGGACAGTCCAGCGTTTTTGCTAGTTTTAGTGGACGAGAGTGACGCGGAAGAAATACTCATGATGCTGTAATTTTTGCTCATGATGGTAAGTTCGCTTGGAAAGGTATGGCGCGTGGCGAATGCTCATGATGCTGACGTTCATGCTCATGATGCTACGAAAAGTGCACACTTCAGCGGCTCATTGAACCCTAAACCCTCGGCCCCCCTGGAAGAGCAGGGCCAACGAGTCGTTCTTGAGGAGGCGTACCTGACAGAAACAGAAAAGTATTGGTAACTGGGGGGGGGGGGGGGGGGGTACCATATATATATATATATATATATATATATATATATACGATCGATATACATTCATTGTTTAGGCATGCTGGAAACACCCTGCCTCATGATTTGCTGGCAAGAGGCATCGGCCTCAAAACTGCCACTCATGGAAATCTCATGTCCTTCCTCGTCCAGAAGGGTAAAAGTATCCGAAAGAAGCAGCCTGGCCTCCTCCTGTCCATGTATCTCGCTTTTGCGTAGGTTGCCGGTTTTGGCGCCCATCTCCAGGCAGCTTCTATCATGCCCCTTGTTTGTGCACACACACACACACACACACACACACTACATGAAGTGCCACGTCAAGCCTCACAGCTAGAAACCATATAGAATTGCCATTTAAGCCGCTTTGTCCAATGACAGACAGTCTGGAGGTACATCTTCGTGTACCATCCACCGGAACGTTCAAGTCGCTTCTTCTTCAGCTGTGTCTTCTTCACATGCACTTCAAGAGCGGAAAACGTGCCGTGAGCCTTCAGCATGTCTCTCAACTGTTCAC